ATGATCATAAGTCATGCTGGCTGTTAAACAGATCGTTATGAAGAGGAAAAGAGGGAAGGAGGAGGAGAGGGAAGAGGGAAGGGAGGGAGGGAGGGAGGGAGGGAGGGAGGGAAGGAAGGAAGGAAGGAAGGAAGGAAGGAAGGAAGGAAGGAAGGAAGGAAGGAAGAGGGAAAGAAGGAAAGAAAGGAAGGAGATTTTTTTGTAAATACATCCTGGTTGCCAAGCACCCAAATTTTAATTTCTTGTCTGCAGGGACACTGAGATTGCCATAAGTGTGAGGACCAATCATAAGTTACAGTTTCATCACCATCATAACTTTGAACAATCATTAAACACATGGTTGTAAGTCGAGGATTACCTGTATATCATTCTCCAAGCATTAAACAAAAGGTTGTAAGCGTGTAAATTATGCTTCAAGTATAGGAAGGAAAGATCCACTGATAAACTGGATGAAAAATTTCCATTCCAGTCTTGGAGTAAGATGAGTTGCTTGATTGTCAAGAGGGCACAAAAATCTATTTCTGTCATCCATGCAAAAGATCTGAAACAGCTGAGACATAATCCATCATCACCCAGCTGTACATCTGTAAAAGAGAAGGAAGTTTCTAGTATTAAATTGGCAGCCCTAGAAATTTTAGTAACAAAAGGGGATAATGATTGGCCAGTTCCAGAAAAGTAAAAGGACCCATAGGGACATATCTGCATCTCCAGCAGCTTGGAGAAGGGATCATACATATTTCATAAAGTCTTAGTAAGTGGTCTGAAGTTCTGAACATCTATTTTTCTCTCCCTGATTCCTAAGCATAAAGAAACTCATTGGTTGCACAGATTCCAGAGGAGACTTCAGAGGAAGTTCTGGGAGAATCCTAATGAATCCAAACTCAAATTGATGGCTCAGGAAGTATTGCCAGCATGTCTGTGCTGTTCCCTGGCAGCATTCACATAGGGAGAAATGATTATTTAATTTCAGAAGCAGCGATTTATGGGGCCCAGCCCAACATTCCTCAGCCAGGTAATCTTCAAATGGAGCTTGGACTTCCATATTTATAATTCCTAATCAGCTTAGCCAAAGCTAATCAACACCTGGCCATGAGCCTTCTGTACGATGTTGTGAATTTTTCCCCAAAATAATGACCCATAATTTGAGAGGGTTCTTTTGCATTCATTGTTGAGAATAGGGCTGCTATAAACAAACATTTGAACAAGAAACCCCCAAATGGCTGCAGATCTTCCTGCTAAAAAGCTTGGATATGTTAATCAGATCAGTCAAAAATCAGCTCTTTGTTGGAAGAAGCTGCTTCACTGGTACAGATAGTCCTTGATTTACAGCTACAATTGGGACCAGAATTTCCATTACTAAGCAATGCGGTTATTAAGTGAGTCGCACCCAATGTTATGGTCTTTCCTGCCATGGTTGTTAAGCAAATCACTGTAGTTGTTAAGTGAATCACAGGGTGATGAAGCGAATCCAACTTCTCCCATTGGCTTTCCTGTCGGATGTTAACTGGGAAGGTCACAAAGGGTGATCACATGACCCCAGGATGCTGAAACTGTCAGAAAGCCATGCCAGTTGCCAAGCATCTTCATTCTGATCACATACTGTGGGGATGCTGCGATGGTTTAAGTGTGAGGACAGTTGTAAGGCCGGCCGTCCCAAATGTGTTTTCTTCAAAAGCAACTGGGCGTCCTTGGTTTTTTTCTTTGAAAATGTTTTGAGAACTTCAGAACTGAAGAAGTTTCTTGGATGAGAAGCAAAACATTAAAAAAAAAGTTTTCAAAAAACAAACAAACAAGAAAGTCCAGTTGCCTTTTTGAAAACCACCCTTGGGACAACCATGACCTGGATGATTGGGAAGCTCCATAGAGCATGGGTCTCCAACCTTGGTAACTTTAAGACTTATGGACTTCAACTCCCAGAATTCCTCAGCCAGCTTGGTTGGCTGAGGAATTCTGGGAGTTGAAGTCCACAAGACTTAAAATTGCCAAGGTTGGGGACCTCTGCCATAGAGGTTGTGAGGCCCTTTTCACTGTTGTTGTTGGTAATTGATGCTTTTCTTTTATTCCCTGCCCAGTTCCATCTTGCTTCATGTCATTTTTATCTACCTCTCTCTGTTTTTCCCCTCCTAGTGCAGCTATTCGTTCCACATCTTTTCATTTGTTTCAGTGCTGTTCTGTTTGGGTTATTCTTCCTGGAAGGAGACAGAGGGATGTTCGAGTGTTCTGTGTTTTGTGTACTTCTGTTTTCTCTGTGCGAAAGGAAAGAGAAGAAGAGTTGGGAGTGTGTAGAGTTTGGAATCAATTAATTTTATAAAATACCTTATTTCACAGGTAATTAATTCTAATCAGTAGCTATTAATACATTATGTCCCCTGATCCTACTCTTTTCAGCAATGTGGCTTCTGGTAGATATAAATATATGTGCATACATTTATTTTAGGGAGAAGGAAAAATTTTCAGATTGATTTGCCTTGCTATGTGCAGACATAGCCATGAATTCCCATGGGAAAAAAGGAAGGATGTGAACGAAATAAATAATAAAATGTTTGGTCAGAAGTAATTCCTCTTATCCTACACATTGCCTGGCCATTAAGTGCAACAGAATCACTCTTCAACATCTACAAACAATGAAATAGTCTCAAATTAAATGGGTTTATATGACTTTTTTATTGCTGTTAAGAAAACTGACGCATTCCATTTGTTGAACTCCTGCCTTTCTGCATGGATCTTAGACACACATGGGCAGGATTGCATTTTAAGCCCCATAATATTCCCAGCTACGGGACAGTTCTGGAAGAAAGAATAATATACACAGAGCACTAGTTCAAATATGTCACATGCAGACCACCAAGGAAGACATGCCCAACTTGGAATTTGCAAAAGAGGTAAAGATTGCAGGATGGAAGAAATTCTGGCTTGTCTCCTGTAGCCAACGTAGGGTTGCACCATGCATGAAAATCAGAAGAAACCATTTCCTTTGCAAGAGAAGCCCCACTCTGGTGGCTGAGGATTATCCCACAATTAGAAATCAGAGGGGGAGAAGCGATGGGCACGCTGGAGACATCACGTTCCTCTCTTGCAATGATGATCCCCTATTAAGGGGGAAGAAACCAAAGATTAGACTTTCTAGGCCTCCAGGGGAGCCTCAGCCCATCCCTTAATTAACTGCTTTGCTAAAGCCCAAGCTTGATTCGGAGCTATCTTTACAAGACAGATACAGAGATTATGTGATTTACGGGTATATGGCTGTTTCATTGCTTTTCACACTGTATTTTTGGAAAATGACACTGAAATTGCCTTTGAATATCTCTCTGGGTTATGCATAAGATAGGTATTTAAGTAAAAAAACTGTCTAAAGGCATGAAAAGGCAGTACAGGTAGACCTTGGCATATAACTATTGATTTAGTGACTGTTCAAAATTACAATGGCACTGAAAATAGTGATTTTCAATCAGTCCTGGCACTTTCAATTGTCCCAGGGTCACAAGATCAACATTTGGGTGCTTGGCAAATAGCATGTGTTTCTTCTGACTGTTGCAGCAAACGGTTATGTGGTCACTATTTGTGACCTTCCCAGCTGGCTTCTGAAAAGCAAAGTCAAAGGGGGAAACTACATTTCCTTAATGACCATGTTATTCACTTAACAACTGCAGTGATTCCTTTAACAACCATGGCAAAAAAAGGTCATAAAATCATGTGTGACTTATTTAACAACCACCCCAATTGTGATAATAAGTTGAGGACTGCCTGGCAGTATGAAAAAAATCCCATCAATTAAGCCAGGGCTTTTCAACCTTTTCACCCATTGTACCACTTTTAGGATATGGCAACATCCGAGTACCACCAGTCGCCTAGCAAGGTGTCAAAAACTTGATGACCAAAAAAAAAAAAAGGAAAAAAGTGATAAAGTACAGGTAGTCCTCGACTTACAACAGTTCGCTTAGTGACTGTTCAAAGTTACAATGGCACTGAACAAAGTGCCCCCCCAAGCCACAGCCGAGCAAGAAACCTGCCTGCCCTCCCAGCGGTGCTCTTCCTCCTGTCCGAGGTTTTCATTGTTGTGAGCATTTCTGTTGAGGATTGGCAGTGGGGGTGGGGTGGGGGGGTGTTTGGTTTTTATTTCCCCCGTCTGCTGGGTGGTTTCAGCAGGTTTTGGTCACTTCACATGACCCTGGGACACTGTGACCGTCATAAATATGAATCAGTTGCCAAGCATCTGAATGTAAATCACAAGACCCTGGAGATGCTGCAACATTCCAGCTGATCGGCGCTTCTTCTGGGCTGGTGCTGATCCTGGTGCTTCCGCTGAGCCCTGACAGCCCTGCAGCTCCAGCCATCTCTCGCTCAGGCTTGTGCAGTGGTGCCACCGGTTCAGCTCATTCCCCTCCCCCCCACCACTTTTCTAGGATGGTCGCGTACCACCTGCCAGGTGCCAATGTACCACAGGTGGTACCCGTACCACTGGTTGAAAAGCCTTGAATTAAGCTATTTTTTTTATCTAAGCAAGACAAACTGCATCTATTTTTAATGTGCTACTGTAGGTAAAGCACCTGTTTGAATTGCACCTTGTCATATCAATTGTAGATTTAATGAGTTTTGCAAGCACTGGGATAAGCCAGGATTCCTCAGCTTTTCGGGGAAAGAGATCTAAATGATTTTCTCCTTGCTTGCCACTTCATTCCACCATTTATTACAAGTGATAAATAGTTGGGGTTAAGAACTACTGAGGATAAATATTTGGGACGTACATCTTCCTGTTACAGGAGCCCTAAACACATCTGCATCTGGTAACTTGACAAGAGGCAATGTTACACAAAATCAAAATATACTGTAGCTTTATTTAAAAATCTATTATAGAAATTGGGTCATAGACTACACTAAGGCATAATGTTGGGAATTTCTTTTCTAACTTTGGCTTAAGGTATTGCTTTGACCTGTCAATTGTGGTTTATTTAACAAACCATAATTAAGCAAAGTATGTTGCATGTGAACATAGCCAGAACATGGAAGCTGCACTATTAGGTAAGAAAATGTGCAGAATCCATGACTTTTCTTTTTTGAAGGACACATCTTCCCAAACTTGGGCATTGCTATGAATGTATCTCTCTGAGACCCAGGGGATGTTCAATTGATAAGAGATTCTGTTCCTCTAAATCTCTCATTCTCTCATGTTTTTAGTCCAGAATTGTAGAGGAGAAACCAATACGGTATGTTTAGTCAACCCTCCAGCATGCTGGAATGGAGACAAAATTAAGAATTTCAAATGATCATAATCCACAAATGGTTACTTCTTAATCCAATGTTCCTCTTCACCTTGTTATTTCTCCTAGAATGGTTAAAGCATCCTTTCCAACATATGCAGGAACAAAAGCAAATTCTCCTTGTTTATCCTCTTCCGTGGTTTCTCCTGACTCCTCCACCCCACCCACCCCCCAGGCCCTTGCGCTGGGCCAATTCCCATCCATGCCTCAACTGTGAAAAGAGAGTTGAAAGCTATTTACTTATGCTCATTAAATCCTCATCTGCTTGGCTCTTGGGCTTATGTTCTCAATTAGGGAAAGTTGTTGAGATCAGAGGCAGTGGGAGACATTCATGTGTGTGAATTAGTATGGTACAAATGATCAGAGAGCCCAGAGCAGGTGCTTTAACAACTTTGGAAGTGAGAAAACCATGTGCATTGATCTCCATACTAGTGTTGACCACTCAAAGAATGCTTGAAATGTCAGAGATAGGAGATGAAGGCCATGTTGGCTGGGAATTATGGCAGCTGAAGTCCTCAACCAGCACAAATTTGTGGAGCTTTACTATGATCAAACATCTTCAGCATCATAGTCTCATAGTCTCACATCTTTATCACATGAGCCTTAGCTTGCTTCTCTCTCTCTCTCCCTCTATTGTTTTTGGAAACAATAAGTAGAAAATAGGAAAGAAGGGGCAGGGAAGAACAGAATGTTTTGTCCATCGCTCTTTTTTTTATGTCAGCTATTACCTTTTCATCTTCTAGGTGATGAGCTGTTGAATCCAGACGCCTTTCTCCAGAGATGCTTCATTTCTCATGGGGTGTTGCAGTTTTCCTTCCGTTCCTTCTGGGCCAAACTCCCGACCCTCATGACCCTTGCTACAATGCCAACCAGCGCCCACAATACTGCCTGCCTGAGCTGTCCGAACTGGCATCGGGCCGTCAGGTGGAAGCCTCCAGTACATGCAGCAGTCCTCCTGGGCGATTCTGCACCTTTCGTGATTCAACCAACCCAACCTCCAAATTCTGCCAAGGTTGCCAAGAACATACCCACCAGTCAGAGCAGCTCACAGACAGTGACGGGGATACGACGTGTTGGTGGTCTCAGCCAATAGCCAATGCCACGCTTACTTTGGCTTTAGGCCGGCAAATGGAAATCCTTTACGTGGCTCTGCGGTTCTGCTCCCCACGACCAGAATCTTTGGCCATTTACAAGTCTATGGACTATGGTCGCAGTTGGATGCCTTTTCAGTTCTATTCCAGCCACTGCTGGCGGCGTTACCATCTGCCCCCAACCACCACCATTGTGAAAAGCATGGAGCATGAAGCAGTTTGTATCGAGGCTCAAACAGCACTCAAGCCCCTCACCGGAGGGCTGGTGGCCTTCATGCCTCTTGCAGGCCGCCCTTCATCCCAGCGGTTCGAGTATAGTCCTGTCCTCCAGGACTGGGTAACCGCTACTGACCTCCGCATGTCCTTTGACCACATGCACTCAGCCCGGACTCTGGGGTTGCGCAGGAAAGAGGCTTCCTATGGAGTAGCTGAGCTGCAGGTTGGAGGCAGATGTAAATGCAATGGACATGCCTCGCGGTGCACAGCTGGGAAAGATGGAGGGGTACCTCAGTGTGATTGTCGGCACAACACAGCCGGCCCTGAATGTGACATCTGCAAAACGTTCTACTGGGATAGGCCCTGGCTAAGGGCAACCCCCAAAGATGCTCATGAATGTGTGGGTGAGACTGTGAGGAAGATAGGGCACCCATGGCTGAGAACATTAGGTGTCCAGAACTGGGATCTGCTCTTTGGAATTCTGCAGTAATAAAGCCGCATTTGCACATGGTCCTTCCCAGCCTGAAGCTGGAAAGATTTTGCCATGGGCACTTTTCCAAAGCTTTTCAGAAAAAAAAAATCCACCCTGCTGTTGGTCTGTTTAGGACAGGGTCCAACCATCTTTTCAGATCCCCAGAAATAATTTTTAAAAAGAATTTCCAACATCTCATGAATTCTCTGCATTTTAAGAGATTTCCCCCCCCCCACTCTCCAAAAAAAGAAGAATGGCCAAATTGGGTTGTGGTTCTACCAAAATTGTGTGACAATTTGGTCCTCAAAATCTTAGAGCAATCTTTTAGGATCATTGCTGGACTGTCTCCAATTTGTTCTTTTTTAAAAAAAAAGTCCAAAATGAGATCAGCAATTTAATGAGATCAGCAATTTCACCAAAACCTCATAAAATCTAGCATCTTTATTTGGATAAAGATAAGATCTCATGTGAAAACACTGAAATCTTGTGAAATGGCCCTTTGTCATGGTTCCGACAGATGAAACTCTTCAAAGAACTTCCGAGGCATTGTTTACCTTAAAGAATCTTTATGGGAGTAGAATAGCTTCGGCAGTAACATAATTGAAGCCAAAAACTGGATTCCCTTCCTCTGAGCACATAGTATCAAAGCACAATTCCCTCCTCCAATTAACAGTCATAAATCACATTGTCCAATTAGTTTGAAATGCAGGCTTTCGGCTCCTGTTCTGCTATCAGCCAATTCTTATCATCTCTTATTTCACACACTAGTATAATATTGTTATGTCTAACTAACGCCCACCACATTCTGCCTCCTCCCCAGCATCATCTAATTCTAAGAGTAAAGTATAAGAAAGAAAAAGGCTGCATCTTCATATGTTGTCAAAGCAAGAACATACAATGTTAGCAGCGTTGACACCCTTTTTTAAAAACACCGTAATCCACTTTTCAATTTATTTGAGGATTCCCCTGATGCCACTTAGGGACACCACGATCAGTGGTACCCACGAGCAGTGAACTGCTAATCATTTAAAGCAGAGGTCCCCAACCTTTGGGCCACTAGGGACTGATTCCGTGGAGAGAGATTTTTCCGCGGTCGGACGTGGTTTTGTGTGCTGCCTACATCCTGCAGATGGGGCTTTGCTTATTTGTGCAGACAGGTTGCTGGCATGCCACGGCCTGGTACCGGTCCACGGACCGAGGGTTGGGGATCCCTGATTTAAAGCATTTGATTGTTTTTTGGTGGGGATAAAAATTCCTAACACTGGAGGGTTGTTCATGGGGAAACGTTTTTTAAAAAAGGTCAGAGGATGGTTGTGATATGATCAAAGCTCTGCCCTATTTATTTCTTTATTATTTAGATATTTATCAAATTTACATGGCAACCCTTCTAACACAAACTTAATAAATATGTATTTATTAAGTTTGATTGCTCCCCATGTTGCCAATTCAAGCTGTCCTCGACCTACAACCACAATTGGGACCAGCATTTTTGTTGCAAAGCATGGCAGTTGTTAAGTGAGTCAGGCTCAATTTTACAACCTTTTTTTGCCACTGTTATTAAGCTAATCAGTGTAGTTATTAATTGAATCATGCGGTTGTTAAGCAAATTCAGCTTCCCTCATTGACTCTGCCTCTCAGTAGCCAGCTGAAAAGGTCGCATGTAGTGATGATCGGGTGACCGCAGGACGCTGCAACCGTAGTAAATACATGCTGGTTGCCAAGTGCAGGAATTTTGACCACATGACTGAGGGAATGTGCTGTGACAGTTGCAAGTGCCAGGACTGCCCTAAGTCACTTTTTTCAATGCCGTTGTAACTTTGAATGGTTATAAGTCGAGGACTGCCTGTTTTACAGATCTCTTAAAACAATTACATTGATTAAACATGAATAAAAACAAGATTGTGAGAAACTTAGAATCAGCAACCACTGAAGCAACAAGCACACGTGATTTCTCTCCTCAGGGGATACCCAGGTCTGTTGGAAAAAAAAAACACATTACAAGGGATTTCTGAAAGGTCACAAAGGTCAGGGCAGAGGGAGCTTAACCTATGTAGCTGCACAATGTATGTAAAAAAAATTACTGGGTTTGATCACCTTGTGGCAACCAGGATCTGGATTTTTTGGCCCATTCTGTCCCTCTGGACCCCCTTTGGCTTGGAGGGCTGGGCATACTGGTGGCGGTCCAGAGGTGGGGTGGAAAGAGGTTTTGGGCATGGACGGAGAAAGCTGCCTGAACTGATGAACCACCTTCCTGTGTTCTCAGCCTGCAACTGCCACCGCCATTCCCATCGCTGCCGCTTCAGCATGGAGCTTTTCGAACTTTCAGGGCGCCAGAGTGGGGGGATCTGCTTGAACTGTCGCCACCACACAGCCGGGCGCCACTGTCAGTATTGCTCACCAGGCTTTAAGCGTGACCTCAGCCACCCCATCACCAGCCACAGAGCCTGCAAAGGTGGGTCAGGTCCTGAAACCCAGAGCATCCTTGCCAGGAGGGACCACAGAAGGGGGTTCAAACAAGTCAAGATGGCGGCCTTGCCTATCTGATCGAAGCCTGCTCCCTTTTTATGTGCAAGGAATAGGTGTCACTTATAAAAAAGAGCAGAGCTTCAATCACACAGTTATGGCTGTCATCTTGACTTTTTTGATCCTATCCTGCAAATACAACTTTGTCATTCTGGGGTTTTCAGTTCTTTATCAATAAGGAAGATTTTTTTTTATCCCGCCTTTATTACTTCATAGGTAGCCGAAGGCAGCAAACAGACTTAATATTACTTCCTCCTCCTATTTTATTTTATTTTATTTTATTTTATTTTATTTATTTTATTTTATTTTATTTTATTATTTTATTTATTTTATTTTATTTTATTTTATTATTTTATTTTATTTTATTTTATTTTATTTATTTTATTTTATTTTATTTTATTTTATTTTATTTTATTTTATTTTATTTATTTTATTATTTTATTTTATTATTTTATTATTTTATTTTATTATTTTATTTTATTTTATTATTTTATTATTTTATTTTATTTTATTTTATTATTTTATTTTATTTTATTTATAGGCAGTAGATAAAAATCAATGGAATTCAAGGTGGGCTGGACTTAGATCTCTTGTGGGCACGAAGGGAATCAAGACAGATGACACATTTGACCCCTCCCTCTGGCTCAGTCTAGTCATTTCCTACACCCATCTTCCTCAGACAAACAATCCTATGAGGTGGGTTGGACTGAGAGAGAGAGTGACTGGCCCAAAATCACCCAGTCACCTTTCATGCCTAAGATGGGACTAGAACTCACTGTCTCCTGATGATTGGCCCAAAGTCAACCAGCCGGCTGTCAAGCCTAAGATGGAACTAGAACGCACTGTCTCCTTGTTTCTAGTCTGGTGCCTGAACCACTAGAACAAACTGATTCTCTAATTGTTCATGAGATGGAGTTTTTGTCTCCACCATGCTTAGGAAAAGGGTTACAATGCATATTCCTGGAAAAGAGAGGAGCGCGATTGCAAAAAATCAAAAATTGATTTAGCAGTCTCCTCTTATCCTCCCTGGGATGTGAAATCTGTGATACTCGAACACTCAACCAAAAGTCTGGGGTCAGTAAGTTTATAAGGCTCCCTGAAATTCTCACAAAAAGGAGAGGGTCCCAAAAGGGTCCATACAATCAAAGCCTCACCATTTTTTATAGGGTAATGACACCTCTTAAAATGAGGTGTGGTTTTAATCAAATGGTTATGGCCACCATTGTAACTTTTTCAACCCCCTGGACTCACCCTGGAGTGTATACAGAGAATCAAAGTCATCTGAATAAGGCTTGCAATGGTTACAATGCAAAAAAAAAACACAAACCCGCTCTCTGCAAAATTAATATTTTCTGTGAAGGCCTGTTGAGTTGCCTTCTAAATATTTCAAGCTTATTCCCTTGCTTTGAAACTTGTCTCCAAGGTTGATATAATGACCAGACCTTCCTTTGCTATGAAACCTGGGAAATGTAGTATGGTGAAGGGGATGAGGATTGTTATGGTAGCTCTTTTTTGGATTCCGTTGAGTAAAAAATCTAGGATGTGTTCTTTAGGAAACTTTTTCTTTTAATTTTGCTGTTATCCATCCTGTATGCTCAGTTGTTAATGCTTGTTTATGACCTAGCACAGTGGTGGCGAACCTATGGCTTGGGTGCCAGAGGCGGCACTTGGAGCCCTCTCTGTGCGCACGCGCGCCATTGCCCCAGTCCTACACCTTCAGCTGGGTTTTATAAAATCTTTTCGCTTTAGGCCTCCGCCGTGTGCAAAAAAAAAAAAGGTTCAATCAGTCAATTTCAACATCTCGTGGAAAAAAAAAAAGATCTTCCAAAGTTGAAATTGATTGATTGAACTTTTTAGTCCCACCCAGTCTGCTGTTACCACCGCAGCCACACCCACCCAATTGGCCACGTCCAGCCAATGGGCCACACCCACCCGGCACTCGACGATGCATAAGTGGGTTTTGGGTTGCAGTTTGGGCACTCAGTCTCTAAAAGGTTCGCCATCACCGGCCTAGCAGGATGAAGGAATCCATTGGAGATGGATTTGAATATAGGCAGCATTTGAATCTAGGCAACTGTGGTTTGTCAGCAAATCATGGTTAAAAAGCAAAACCATGGCTTACTCTGATGTGTGAATCCACACTATGGTCAAGAGAGGGAGTTTTGGAGCTTTCTCTCTTAAAGTCACAGCATTGAGAAAGCTTGCATTCCTGTAAAAGGCACACACCTTTTAACTAAAAAAAGTCAGGATGGATAGATTATTGTGGAGATGGCCAAGTACATATTCTCCTTCTACAGCTTCTCCTCTTTTTTCTTTCCAGCTTGCCAGTGTCATCCTATTGGGGCAACTGGGGCCATTTGCAACCAGACCACTGGACAGTGCCAGTGCAAGAACGGAGTCACCGGCCTGACCTGCAATCGATGTGCCCAGGGTTTCCAGCAAAGCCGCAGCGCTCACATACCCTGCATTCGTAAGCTTTCTTCTTCCTTAAACCTCCTTCCATGTCAGCCTTTTGGGACAGCCCAGTCCACACCTGGACAACAATTCATTTCTTGGGGCCAATTTGAGAATGGAGCACCTTAGTGCAACCTCTCCCATCCTGGCACCTTCCAAGTGACACACCGCTATGCCTGGGTAAGCGTAGGATTAGCACTCCCAATACATCTATAGGGCAGTGGTGGTGGACCTATGGCACGGGTTCCAGAGGCGGCACGCAAAGCCCTCTGTTTGGGTACGCGCGCCGTCGCCCCAGTCTTAGGCCTTCAGCTAGGTTTTATAAAATCTTTTCGCTTTAGGCCTCCGCTGCTGTGTGCAAAAAAAAAAAAGGTTCAATCAATCAGTCAATTTCAACTTCTCGCAGGAAAAAAAAAGATCTTGCAAAGTTGGAATTGATTGATTGAACTTTTTAGTCCCACCCAGTCTGCTGTTACTACCGCAACCACGCCCAGCCAATGGGCCACACCCAGTCAATGGGCCACACCCACCCGGCACCCGACAATGCATAAGTGGTGTTAGGAGTAAGTCTTCATCCTGGTTCATCCAAGCCGGGAATAAATAAGCAAACATGGCGACTGCTTTGGGAAGAAGGTTACAGTTTATTGCAGAAGACAGATAGGCAGCAGAGGAGAAGAAAAGAGAGTGAGCACATGGGTAGAAGGCCTTTTTATACCCTCTAGCCTTGCCTGGAAGTTTCCTGTTCCTGTGGCAT